TCTTGAACAGGTGAGATGACCAAGATGGAGATCACTGAGGTGAAACATTTCCACTTTGACCTGAAAGTCAGACTGTCGGTTCAGTATCCATGGAGCTGGCTTTAAATACATTCTTCAGGTAGAGGTTACTCACACCGGTGATGGCTTTTCCTGTTCTGCTGCTGGGCAGGTTGGGTGCTCATGTCCATTCTGCTTGATCCAACATGTGCTGAATGCACAGATGGTGGGGGCCAGGAGTCACTGGGGGCTAGTGGTGCAGAAGAGTGTGTCACACGAATAGCACATGCTACAGAGCAAGAGGAATCCAAAGCCACATCATTTCCTAGCTGGATGGAGAGAAGGATGTATGTAAGGCTGTTGCTGGAGTCTTGCTCTTGTAGTGGACAAAAGCCTGTGTGTGTGTGTGTGTGTGTGTGTGTGTGTGTGTGTGTGTGTGTGTGTTTCCTTCCCTTCCAACCACAAACTCTTCAAATAAATTAAGAAACTCAAGATCTCCTCTCACCTCCAAGGTCAACTTTGCCCATCTCACATAGGATTCTGCAACCCCCTTGTCATCTCCTGGCCTCTGGACCCCCAGCAGTGTGTGACCACAACTCCTGATATTGATGCCAGCCTGGATGAAACACCTCACAGCTCTGCTCTGATCAATAGTTACGACTCAGCAGAGCCATAACCTCTCAAGATCTGATCATTCTTCTGTCAGCACAGTTAACAACTGTGCGAGTCCTTTCACAGCACCATCACTTGGTGGTCCTGCCTTTGAGTACAACCCAGTCCCCACCAAACTTCAGTCAGTCTTTCCCCAACCTGGATTTGTGCAGTTACAATCGATTCTTTGCGCTAACATGGACAGATAGATCATAGAGAGCTTGTTATAAAGGGAGACAGATTAGACACAACAATTTGCCAAATAGGGTAGCAAAGTTGGATGCTCCTGATCCACAGCTCCCTGAAGACACAGCTCACCAATGTGGCAGGACTAGCCCTCAGTGGGCCCTTTTTCCCAAAGGGCTCTCAGATCTTCATGGAGAAAGTCTCTAGAAAAAAATCATTTTGACCTTGTGGGCCTTGGTAAGAACTAAAGACATACATGTGCCTCAAACCCTTAGGCAAGTGGACAGCACAGCTCAATCCTTAAGCAGATGCGTCTGGCCTTGCTGCTGCTGCTGCCACAGATCTTCTCTTCACTGGGCTGGTGGGAGGCCAGGTGGAAGCTGCCAGACCTAGCTCCTTGTCTGCTCTCAGCTCAGCTCCTTTCCCAAGCAGAGCTTTTTCTTCCAGCTCAGCACAGGTCTCCAAAACTCTTTGTGGTTTCTTCCATGGTCCCGTGGTCTCTGGGTAGTTTGGACTCCCCATCGCATTTCTCTTGGAATTCTAGCCTCTCCTCCTAGTTTGTACAAGTTCTGGTCAAAATCTGAGTACAGCTGAGAATCACAATGCAGTCTGCTAGTGTCTTCTTTGTCTGGGAACAATCCATTTTCTTAAAATTCCAGTTCCTTCCTTAGAGTCTCTCAATTGTTTTTCTCCCCAAGACACATGGTTTTGCAGCACAGTACAAATACAGTGGTTTAGTCGTGACCCTGCAGCCAGATGTCTGGGGTTCAGATCACAGTCCGGTCTCTTTCTGGCTAAGTGATCCCAGGATTCTCTTGACCTTAGATGCTTCCCAGTATATCCAGGAGGGTTTGATGGGCACTTTCTTCAAGTCTCAGCACCCAGCACACAGGAAGCTGGCAAAGATGCGAACCAGAGTGTGCAGCTACCGCGACCTGGAATTCCAAATGCCAGGAAAGCTTTGAAAGAAAACACTGTGTCGTGTGTCTGGTCTTTCCTCCTCTAGCTCCTTCCCTGTGGCAGATGAGAGAGTGGCCTTACTTTTCACAGTGGCCTTCTCCCTGTGACCACTACTCCTGCTAATCAGAACCTGCGTGCCTTTAGTGTGTCTACATGACCAAATCACTTTCACTCTTCATGACCACTCCGAGAAGTTGTCTTTCTTACCTGCACTTTTATATTAAGATTTTCCAATGCTTCCCTTTTATTCCTACTAGAGAAATCTTTAAAAATCTATGGTTCTCAATCCTGAAATGAAAGCAAGTTGACTTCCTTCCCAGGTGACCACAGGAGCACAGCCCAAGCCCTCTCCTGCCCCTCCCAGTGCTTTTTTTAAAGTGCACACAGGCACCATAGCATTTTTAGGAAGCTCCCATTTAAAGATATTCCCATTTATTCATTTTATCTCTTTTCAGAGAGAAACACAATAAAACAGAGACTTCCAATCCTCTAATTCACTTTCCAAATACCTGCGACAGCTGGGACTTTGTCAGGTCAAGGCCAGCAGCCCAGAACTCAATCCAGATGGATGTCAGGAGTCCAAAGACTTAAGCCATCACCTGCTGCCTCCGAGGACGCAGCCTAAGGAGGAAGCTGTAGAACTGGAAACAGAGGCAGGACTTGAATACAGTCCTCGTCGTTGTGCCAAACGCTTGCCCCCTTCCAGGATTTTTGAAACCCCACAGAGCAATGCCATTCTAGAAACCTCTGCCTGTGGCCCATCTCTTCCTCCCCCCTCTTGGAAACTACATTTGCCCCCTCCCTTGTGTCCACACAAACCTCAGAACTGGTAGTCTTTCACCTTTACGCTTCTTATCAAAGTCGGGGCCCAATCACACATTCAAAAGTGCAGAAATAGACTTATTTTCTAAAGGTCAACCTTGCAGGTTATCAAGGAAATGCAAATGAAAACAAGTTTCTATTTTTCACTCCTAGAAACAGTCAAGAAAAAAGTTATTATATTTTCAATGTTGGGGAGGTTGTGGTCAAAATGGGTACTTTCACCTTCCACTGGCGGGAGGGTAGATAAGTATTTCTAGGGAATATGCAAAGAGTATAATGTATTTGTTAAACTAGTAATCCATGTCCTAGGAAAATATATTTAGGAAACCACTGGAGTTGCACAAATGCATTGCTACATGAAAATATCTATCACTGCTTTACTTCTGATATTGAAAAATGTGAAACAATCTGAACATCCAACAATAGAAGACTGGTGAAATCAGTTACAGAACCATCTAATACAATGCACTCCAACACCACAGAAATGCAAGCCATAAAGCTGAGTGTCAGGGATTAAGACACAATAGTGTGCATGGGACTGATCATAAATATCATGTGGAGTTGACATAAAACTTAGAGCACAGGGCCCGGCGCGGTGGCGCAAGTGGTTAAAGGTCCTCACCTTGCCGCCCGGGATCCCATATGGGCGCCGGTTCTAATCCCGGCAGCCCCGCTTCCCTTCCAGCTCCCTGCCTGTGGCCTGGGAAAGCAGCAGAGGACGGCCCAAAGCTTTGGGAACCTGCACCCGCGTGGGAGACCCGGAAGAGGCTCCTGGCTTCGGATCGGCATAGTATCGGCCCGTTGCGCTCACTTGGGGAGTGAATCATCGGACGGAAGATCTTCCTCTCTGTCTCTCCTCTCTGTATATCTGCCTTTCCAATGAAAAAATAATAAAAATAAATCTTTAAAAAAAAAAAAAAACTTAGAGCACACACCAAATTATCTGGTTAGTTTTGGAAGGTGGGAATGTGGGTCATTTTTAATTTCCCCTTTCATCATTAGAAAGACACACATGGTTTTGAGTTGAACTAAACACTTCAGTGTCTCTCTGTGTACTGCATATGCATTATGGACTGGTGTGGAAGATCAGCTCTCACGCTGCATTCTCTCCACCCTGAGATTTGAAGCTGCTGCCTGAACCAGCCTGGCAGGTGTCCTTACAATCATATCCATGCTGCCCCAGCCTCATCCCATGGTCTCTGTCTCTCTGCACACACTCCCTGCCCAGAAACCCCTCCACCCAGACAAGCAGAGCTGGATGAAATCTTGACAGTGAATCAGGGGCTTGCAGCCTTTTGACTGCCTGGTGAATCTCATGGCACCCCTCCTCTTCACTGTCCTCGCAAGTGCATCAAAGCCAAGCACTGCGGCTTCAAAGGACACTGCGCAGTCATGGAGCAGGAAGCTTGCAGGCCAGGTCCCCCATGTTTCCTAGGCACTGGGGCAGGTGCACCTGCAAGGAGCAGTCCTGACGGGCAGTGGGATCCCTGTCTCTCAGCCTCTGACCTCTTCCCTTCCTCTGCAGAACTTAAGCAATTCTGTAGCTTCCTCGCGGCCCCTCTCCTTATCTGGCTTAGAACATGCCCTCTTAACCTTCACGAGGGCATGACAAGGTAGGCATCACTGTCACCACTTGTAGGCAAGGCCCGGGTGAGCAGGACTACCTAACCTCCATTAGAGCACATATGAAAAGGGATGTTCCTCTCTTCAGGGCTGCTAGGACAGACAGCGGGTGAATCCAACTTGGAAGGAAGCAGAACTTGGGTATTTAGGAAACCGGAAATGAGTGTGTTCATGGGGACCAGTATTTTAGCCGAGTCTCACGCCTGAAGCAAGCTGCTCACCTTGCAGTTACCCAAGCTGACCCACTACTCCTTTTTATTTTCCTTTCTACTTTTATTTCTTTTAAAAAAAAATCCAGTTTGTCATAAATGTAAAGCAAGTCCAATGTGGATTGTTCCCACTTGGCAGATGTGGCAACTGAGGAAGGAGAATTAAATGACAAGGAAATGGCACAGCCATGATTGCAAGCCACTCTGACCTCAAGGCCATAGGTCAAATGCCTCTTCCCTTGGAGGAATCAGATCCCATGACCAAAACATTGTCCTTGCACAACCCCCTTACTGCCACCCCTGGCTAGGCTCTAGACAGAAGGTTCTAAGGCTCACAGCCATGCAACCACCTAGCACAGCCACCCACAGGAAGGATGGCTTTTCTACCCACAGCAGATTCTTTTCTTCTTGAACTAGCAGCTGGTATTTTTCCCATGCCCCCCTACCTGCACTAAAGGTCCGATGTACCCCTTTGGGAAGAGGGAACCAGATGGGCATAGCAGGAGCAGCCCCATCACCCCTCCCCTCCCTGACAGCAGCCTCCGGCCTCACCTGTAGATCAGTACCTCGTCGTCGGAGCAGTTATATTGAAGCTGGTACATCTTCACTCGTGGCGCAGACTTGCTGACCGACCACTTGACTAACGCCGAGGTGGTGGTCACGTCGGACACCAGCACGGCTCGTTCCGGGGGGCTTTTGGGAGGCTCCCCACCCCCACCGCCCCTGCTGGTCTTACTGGAGCCGGTGATGTCCGAGAGGCGGGACTTGGGGGGCGCCAAGCGGCTGGTGCTGTTGCTGAGGTGCGGCAGCTGGACGATGGAGACCTCTACTGTGGCGGTGGCCTCGCCTGCAGCGTTGGCCGCGATGCAGGTGAAGGCGCCGCTGTCCTGAGACGTGGTGATGAGGATGTCCAATGTGCCGTTGTCATACACAGCGGTCCTCGAGGAGTTCCCCACTAGGCGGTCATCAGGGGCTATCCAGTGGATCAAGGGGCTGGGGTCTCCAATGGCCTTGCACTTAAGCGTGGCCGCCTGACCCTCCAGAACTAGCAGCTTGTGCGTGTGCTGGGTGACAAGAGGTGGCTCGCACACAAACTCCTCCTCCCGCACGTGCCAGAAGTAGCGTCCCTTGAGACCTCCTGGGGAGCCGCAGGTCTCCAGGTCATCCTCCCGCTCTAGTCTCCGCAGCCAGAGGAGCTCACAGTTGCAGTGCAGAGGATTCCCTCCGAAACTAAAAGACAAGGCTGGGGCAAAGGGCGTGGCGGTCAGGGCAGAGGCCTGGGAGCGAGCGAAGATGGGGTCCGGCGGTAGCTTCTGCAGCCGGTTGGAGGTGAGGTCTAGACGGGCGAGCTTCTGCAGGTCGGCAAAAGTGCCTTCCGCGATGTGGTCCAACAAATTGTGGTCCAGGCTCAGCTGGTGGAGGTTGACCATGCGGCGCACAGAGCCCCAGGGCAGGCCGTGCAGGTTGTTGTATGACAGGTCTAGGTCCTCCAGCGTCAGCAGGAAGTCCTCAAAGGCGTCTTCAGCGATGCCGCCCAGCTGGTTGTTGTTCACGATGAGGTGTTGCAGGTTGACCAAGCCACGCAGCGTGTCCTCGCCCAGGCTGGGCAGCCGGTTGCTGTCGAGGTGCAAGGAACGAAGGCTTTCGAGGTCCAGGAAGGAGAAGGGTTGGATATGGCTGATGGTGTTCCTGGACAGGGTCAGGTCCACCAGCCCTGTCATGTTGGCGAAGTCCTGGCGGCCGATGTGGATGATAAAGTTGCCGCCCAGGCGCAGCTCCACTGTCCGCCGGTCAATGTCGGGGGGCACAAAGAGAAGCCCCTTGGAGGGGCACAGGGTTCCCAGTGACTCAGACAAGTTCTGGCAGACACAATACTTGGGGCAGGCGTCGACTGCAGCAAACGCCATGCCAAATGCCAGCAGGCCACCAAGCAGGGTCTCCATGGTCTGGTCACTCAGGCTACAGTGCCTGGAAGGGAGGGACACAAGATCAGGGTCAGAAGCAACATTCCACTGCCCTCCCACTCGCCCCTGCCTGAGGCAGCAGCAGGTGCAAGGCTTCCTCTCCCCCACCAGTCCTTCCGATGCAGCCCAATGTTTTCCCTGAACTCTTACTGGCTAATGTACAATTTCATTTACTCACTTATTACCCGTATTGATCCTTCCCTATCTCTTCTGCTAGAACACGAGCTTTCAGAGGGCGGTTACTTCTGTCTGCTCCATGAATCACTGTGTTCCAAGGAGATAGCATAGTGCCAAGAACACAGTAGGTTCTCAATATATGTTTTTGTGAGTTGGAAGGGTAGGGCAGGAATGTGCAGCTGGAGATTCCATCAGTAGTGCACTTGATAATCATTGAGTTTGGAAGATATGTAACAGCTGTCTCCGAAAGGCCTGTTCCCTTCTTATGTAGTGTAGACTCAGCAGCGAATGAAACTGAACCAGCACCCCTTAAGGACAAGGAAGTGAGTGAAGGTAGACATTGTGGTGATGTGCCTTAAGCCATCTCCTGGCCCATCCACATTACCTATAGGAGTCCAGGTGCAAGTCCCGGCTATGCCTGGCTCTCATCCAGCTCCCTGCCAATGCACTAGGAAGCAGTAAATGATGACCTGAGTACTTGGGCTGCTGGCAAACCTGTGCAGACATGTGCAGCTCCCAGACAGAGTTCCTGGCTCCTGGCTTCGGCCTGGCCCAGCTCCGGGGCCGAGGTCTCCATTTGGGAAGTGAACCAGTAGATAGAAGATCTCTATCTCTCTTTAAGTCAGACTTTCAAATAAAAAAAATAAATAAACCCTTTTTAAAAAGAAAAACAAGTTACCTTCTCGTCAATGACTTCCCTGAACCCTTGCCGTCACCCTCACCCCACCCCCATACACTTGGCATTTTCTGCTTGAAGCTCCTCCTTTTCCACCTTACCCCACACTTAAGCTCCTCATCTCTCCATTTGTCTTCAGCCCTGACAGCACAGCCCAGAAGAAGGACTTACTTTACTGTATGTTCATTGCCAATGACCCTAGGGCAGGGAGGAGCAGGAAACTGGCAGCCTCGGTGCCTCCAACTCCGAGTTCACTCGCTCACCATGCTGTGCGACTGCTGCTTGTTTCGGGTAGTGCTGCAAGCAGCCTGTGCAGCTGGACTTCAGGAGACGTGTGCCCACTGGCTGTGGAGCATCAGGCAGCCCGCTGCCTCACAAAGTACCTTGTAGGAGTGCTAACTAGGGTCCTGTGGAGACAGTCAGGGAAGTGCTGCACACTTCTGCTTGCTGCTGTAAAAGCTCGCTGTCTCTACACAGTGCTCCGAGAAGTCGAGAAAAGCTGCCGTAGCAGAGACACCACACTCGTGCTTGGCATCACTGCTATTTCTTCCTCACCACAAAGATACTCCTTTTTGTAAGGAGGTAGAATTTCACGGGTCCCAGTCTGAAGGACACAGATGCACACAAAATGATTCTTAGACTTTAAAGGAGAAACACATAGTGCGGTGCATTTAAAAACCAGCTCCAACCACATTTTCCACTATGCAGATTTAAATTCCATTGTTGTGTCTTCTTAAGGATAAATCTCATATCTGAGACCCTTCAAGAGCCAGGGACTTCTGCATTTCACCTGGAGTGTTATCTCAGAGGAGCACTGTTCAATGGCAAAATCGTGTGAGCTGGAACTTGTCACTAATTTCAAATGTTCAAGTGGTCCATTGAAAAGGAATAATGGAAAGGCACAGGTGAAGTCATTCCGGTGATACATTTTTTTAACCATGATATTCAAGATATGATTTCAATAAATCATGAAGTCAATGATTAATGAGATGGTTAGCATTTGTTTGTTCTCAGAACACAGTTCAAATGCTCACCAGTTGCAGCTGCTGTTGGCTGCCGTACTGGACAGCACTGCAAACTATAGATCACAGCCCAGCTCTAATCCACTGCCTGTTTTTGTCAAGAAAGCTTTTTTAAAACACAGGTTTATTTACCTGTTATCTGTAGCTTCTTTTTTTTTTGCTACAATGGCAGAGGTAAGTAGCTGCAGCAGGCAACATGTGGCCCGAAAAGCACCAAACAATTACCATCCAGTTGTTTCTAGAATACTCTAGAGGGTTTGTTTTCTTCTCTTCTTGCAGCAAGCACACAGTGGAAGCCTCTGCCAAATGCCCAGGTCCGCACAATTCTTGCTCAGTTTCCCCGCAGCCATTTGCCCACAATGCCCTGTGCCTGTTCTCACCAAGCTCTTGCCAGAACCATGCCAGCTCCCATCAGATGTGTCCAGCCCCCATGTGTCACTATATAGAAGTGTTTCACATTCTCTGTGCTCCAAGGACTGGACTCCTGGACCCAGAGCCTTCTTGAGCTTTCCAGCTCTTCCTCCCAGTGACTCATGGTGACTGCACAGCTGAGGCCACTTCCCTGGCCACCATTTATATTTCCATGGAGTTGAATGGCAGCCTCTGTACCCACTGGGAGTACAGGACAGTTACACTCAGTGATATCTCCTGAGGCTGCATGTGGGACTGGTGCAGTGGCACAGCAAATTAAGCTGCTGCCTATAATGCTGGCATCATGTATCAGCCTGGCAGTTAGAGTCTTGGCTGCTTCACTTCCGATCCAGCTCCCTGCTAACACTCCTAGGGAGGCAATAGATGAAGGCCCAGGTGCTTGGGCCACTGCCATTCAGACAAGAGGCCTAGATTGGAGTTCCAGGTGCCTGGCTTCAGTCTGGTCTGGTCCTGATGAATGCAGCCACTTGGAAAGTGAACCAGCAGGTGCAAGATATCTCTTCATTGCTCTGCCTTTCAACAAATACATTTAAATCAATAAATGGTGCTTGATTTATAATATTTATTTATGAAAAATTATCAAAGATATGTGAATATGCTTTTCAAAGGGCTGTATAGGGCTCAGGATGATTAGTATCCTTCAGCCCTACAACAAAGCTCTTCTTCCTTACGTGCTCTGGACAGTTGCAGCACTGTAGAGTTCCAGGGCCAAGAAACATTTTCTAACATTTTCATGCCATGGCAATGTGCAAGAGATGACGGTATCTGTCAGGTGCACCTGGGGTTAAGGCCAAGGCTATTCATGGCCTGAGCCTTTCCATTTGCCCTTCTAGGCCTGTTTACCACTCTCCCCTGTGTTCTGAGGGTGTTGGCCAAGTGGCTTACATTAGCATAACACAGAGGGAGACCTCTGGCAACCTTAACTCAGTCACCTGCCCCACAGAGGGAGCAACCTGAATGTTGGAGGCACACCTACCACAGCTACCAGGGGCATGAGTTTCCTTGTTTCCCTTGGCCTTGCCCTTAGAGAATAAGCTAAGCAAATCACATCAGAGAAAAGAAGTTTGTTGAGGATTAACAAATGTCTAATGAATTCAAAGCTGTGACATAATAGTGCTGGGTAAATACATTTTAAATAATCAGCATGGAAGATAGCTGACAGAGCAGTGACTATTGAATCTTAATTAAAATTATATTCTGAGAACTGTCACTTAATGTGTTACTATAACAGCCAAAAAGAAGAAAGCTTAACCTCCAAGTTGGGAGGCAATAGGGCATGGAACCAAGTAGGGTATTTAGTGCACACCCAGATCCTTGGGGCCTCACAGTATATCCAAGTGATACAGGTGATGGGGGGAGTGATGAGGAGGACAGGGCTGGGGCCAGGAGCAGGGGGACAAGTGAGGGCAGGCAGGACGGACTGCAGAATCCTTTGTGGGCTAAGCTCAGGGGTGCATGGGTATCAAAGAAAGGCTGTGAAATGGATGCTGGTATCAAATGTCAGAATCAGCCTGCAAAACAGGGATCCTCTGCAGAGCCAGGCTGCTCTTCCCTGCCTAGAATGTCTATGAGGCAATGCTGGGATGAGGGCTTTCAGGAGAGTTGGCAGAAACCCGAGCGGGGGATGGACAGGAATCACTCTCCCACCAGCCCTGCACCAGACAATCAGCCCTGTTCTGGGTGTTGAACCAGGGTAGGAACTGAGTCTCCTCTACCCCTCGGTGAAATTTCATCATTCAGATGCTGCAACTCTGCAAAGTAAGTATGCTGCTAATGCATAAGGGGTCCTTGTGCAGTAAGAAGGAGGTGTCTGCTGGAGCTGGTATTGAGGCTTGGGATGCCAGCATCCCATATGAGCACGGTTCAAGTCCTGGCTGACCTACTTCAGATCCAGAAGCAAGTACACACTGCTAATGTACTTAGGAAGCAATAGGTGATGAACCCCAGTGCTTTGGGTCCATGCCACCCATGTGGGAGACCCAGATGGAGGTCCAGGCTCCTAGCTTTGGCCTGGCCCAGCCTTAGCTGTTGTGGCCATTTGGGAAATGAACCGGCAGGTAGAAGATCCTCTCTCTTCTCTACCTCTCTCTGTGTCATTTTACCTTTCAAACAAATAAGATAAATCTTTAGAGGAAAGAAAAACACGTCCTTTGGGTCTTCTTAGCAGACTTTAACCGAGCAACCTCAGGCAGTGAACGTCCTGCCTCACCATTCCTTGTATCCATGGCCATTGCCGTCTCCATTTGAACCACTAGGAATTGGTGTTTAAAGATGGTTTGGGTCTAAAGGCTCCTAATGTCCCAAGATGCTTCACAACTAAAATTGAGGGAGTACTGGACTGCTCGGAGAGGAGGAGAGCCCTTTTATACGCCTGGCATACACAGTGAATCCGGGCTGCTTGCACTACCAAGATGCCTAGTGCCTGGGGATGGCCCAGCAGCTCTGCCTCCTTGAAGCATCTTGTGTTTCCAGCTTAGGGCTGATTCCGGATGGAACACTGATGCTGATGTCCACAGAAGCAGAGGCTCCGGAAGACTGCCAGTCAGGCCGGGGTGGTGGTGAGCCACACATGCACACACACGCGTGCTCAGGCACGCGCACACACACACACACACACACACACACACACACACACACACACACACACACAGCAACAGAAGTCTACTGGCAAC